TTCCTGTTGAGAATACTGAGCGTTCAGTGATAGTTCAAAGCCCCTTAGGCAAATCATCGTGTTGGATCGTATTTTTAGAGAGTGCCCTATAGAGATCAATGGGGAGATTTTTCTGGCTGACCTGATGGAGTTACCCTTTAAAGAGTTCGATTTGATTCTCGGCGTAGATTGGTTGGACAAACATCTAGTAAATATTGATTTTGAGACTAAGAGAGCTATTCTGAAGACCCTAGATAATCGAAAAATTGTAATGATCGGGGAACGACGTGGATTTCTGACGAATGTTGTGTCTGCCTTGGTAGCGGAGAAGATGATCAGGAAGGGTTCCGAGGCGTTTCTTGCTTATATTTTGGACACTAGGAGATCGCAATCCGATATTGAAGGCATCCGAATTGTCAAGGAATTTCCTGATGTTTTTCCCCAGGAGTTGCCTGGATTACCTCCAGATAGAGAAGTCAAGTTTGTGATTGAAGTCTATTCTGGTTCCACCCCGGTTTCAATGGCTCCTTATCGTATGGCCCCAAAGGAGCTTAAGGAACTGAAAGTTCAACTTCAGGAGTTGTTGGACAGGGGATTTATTCGACCTAGTGTATCACCGTGGGGAGCCCCAATTCTCTTTGTCAAGAAGAAAGATGGGACGTTGAGACTCTGTATCGATTATAGGAAACTGAACAAGCTCACGGTGAAAAACAAATATCCTCTACCCAGAATCGACGATCTATTTGACCAATTTCGAGGGGCTTCTATCTTTTCAAAGATAGACTTACGATCTGGTTATTATCAACTCAAAGTGAAAGATTCGGATATTCCGAAGACTGCTTTCCGTACTCGATATGGGCGCTATGAGTTTTTAGTGATGTCATTCGGGTTAACTAATGCCCCTGCTGCTTTTATGGATCTGATGCATAGGGTGTTTCGACCTTATTTGGACCAGTTTGTAGTTGTATTCATTGATGATATACTGATGTATTCTAGAAGTGAAGTAGAACATGAGGAGCATTTAAGGATTGTTCTTCATACTCTAAGGGAGAATAAGCTATACGCTAAGTTGAGCAAGTGTGAGTTCTGGCTCAGCGAAGTGACTTTTCTTAGACATATCGTCTCTGCTGATGGCATTCAGGTGGATCCAAGCAAAGTGGAGGCTATTCTGAACTGAAAGCAACCCAGAAACGTCTCAGAGATCCGTAGTTTCTTGGGCTTAGCTGGTTATTACCGTCGTTTCGTTGAGGGGTTCTCCCTTATTGCAGCTCCTCTGACGAAACTATTGAGGAAAGATGTTCCATTTGTCTGGTCTGAGGACCAACAAGTTAGCTTTGAGAAATTGAAGACTGTTTTAACTCAAGCCCCAGTATTGATTTAGCCTGAATCTGGGAAGGATTTTTCTGTCTACAGTGATGCTTCTCATTCTGGATTAGGATGTGTTTTGATGCAAGAGAAGAAGGTTGTCGCTTATGCGTCACGTCAGTTAAGGCCGCATGAGCGTAATTATCCTACTCACGATCTGGAATTAGCTGCGGTGGTTTTTGCTTTAAAGATCTGGAGACACTACCTCTACGGAGAAAAGTATTATATCTATACTGATCATAAGAGTCTGAAGTATCTGCTTACTCAGAAAGAATTGAATTTGAGACAGCGTCGCTGGTTGGAGCTTTTAAAGGACTATGATTTTGAGATAGAATATCATCCAGGGAAGGCTAATGTAGTGGCAGACGCCTTGAGCCGTAAGGCGATATCAGATCTCAGAGCCTTATATGCCAACTTGAGCTTATTTGATGATAATAGCTGTTAGCAGAGTTACAGGTTAAACCTACTTTGGCCGAGGAGATTAAGGCCAAACAACTCCTTGATAGCTCGTTGCTTCCCATTATTGAACAAGTTAAGCATGGATCGAGTTCGGAGTATACTATGGATCATGATGGTATTTTGTGTTTTCATGGTCGTTACTGCGTCCCTAAAGATGATGAGTTGAGACAGATTATTCTTCAGGAGGCTCATAATAGTCTTTATGCTATGCATCCTGGTGGGGACAAAATGTACAATAATCTCAAAGAGCGCTACTTTTGGACTGGTATGAAGAAGAATATTTCAGATTTTGTGGCAAGGTGTTTGACTTGTCAGCAGGTTAAGGCAGAGCACCAGCATCCGTCTGGATTGTTACAGTCAATTAAGATTCCTGAGTGGAAATGGGAGCGTATTACGATGGACTTCGTTACTGGTCTTCCTCTAACTCATTCCAAAAAGGATTCTATATGGGTGATTGTTGATCGACTCACCAAGTCAGCGCACTTTATCCCTATTCGGGTTAATTATTCTCTGGATAAACTGGCTAAGTTGTACATTTCTGAGATCGTTAGACTTCATGGTGTTCCGTTGTCTATCATATCTGATCGAGATCCGAGATTCACTTCCAGGTTCTGGAAAGCTTTGCACGAGGCTCTGGGTACTCGTTTGAATTTCAGTACAGCTTTTCATCCCCAAACTGATGGACAGTCTGAGCGAGTGATTCAGGTGTTGGAGGATATGTTACGGGGTTGTGTGATTGATTTCCGTGGTAGTTGGGAAGATTTCTTGCCATTAGCTGAGTTTGCTTACAATAATAGTTATCAGGCGAGTATTCGCATGGCACCGTACGAGGCTCTGTATGGATGTAGATGTCGTACTCCTATATGTTGGACATAGTTACATGATAGAAAAACTTTGGGTCCAGACTTAGTTCGAGAGACTGAAGATATGTCAGACTGATCCGTGATCACTTAAGAGAGGCATTTGATAGGCATAAGTCATACGCAGATAAGCGACGTAAGGATATCGAGTTTGAGGTTGGAGATCAGGTTTTTCTCAAGGTATCTCCATGGAAGAAGGTATTGAGATTTGGACGTAAAGGTAAACTGAGTCTGCGATTTATTGGGCCGTATCGTATTCTGAAGAAAGTTGGACCTGTTGCTTATCAGCTTGAGTTGCCTTCCCAGCTCAGTCGTATTCATGATGTTTTTCATGTTTCTATGTTGAGGCGATACCGTCCAGATTCAGATCACATCATCCAGGTTGATGAGGTAGAGCTGAGACCTGATTTGTCATATGAGGAGGAGCCTGTTCAGGTTTTAGAGAGGGATGAGCGAGTCCTTCGGAATAGGCGTATTCCAATGGTCAAAGTGCAGTGGAGTAGTCGTAGCCCCTCAGAAGCTACTTGGGAGACATTGGAGTCAATGGAGGTTCAATTTCCTCATATGTTTTCATAAGGTAAATTTCGAGGACGAAATTTCTTGTAGAGGGGGAGAATTGTAACAACCCGATAATATCAAAATAATAGTTAAATGGAATTGAAGATTTAATTATGAAAATTGGTAATTTTTAGGGACTAAATTGAAAGATTTTAAAACTTGTAGCTTGTTTTAGAGTTAAAGAAAATTCAGGGACCAAGCCCTGAATTTACCCAAAAAAGTTAGGTATTTGGTTTATATATATGATATATGCGTGAATTGGGTTCTAAAAATCAGAACCCAATTCCTCCCAAATTTCCATTTCCTTACCTCAACTTCCGACGACGATTCCGACACCGTCCGAATTCCGATCGTCGTTTTGAAAGTATCATCGTGTTCGTTATCGAGTCAGGAACAATCCCCTCAATTTAATTGAAGCGAAACGCTGCCAAACACCGTGAATTTCAAGTCAAAGCATCGACGTTTTTTTTAAGCTCAATCGCCTAGAAAATCCTAAATTCATCGTCGATCGTTGCTCCGTTTACGACACCTCCCGCACCATCGTGTTCTTGTGCCGTTCCGAGTCCGCCGGTGTCATCCTCGATCTTCGTTGACGGCGGCGTGTGGGGAGGTGGATTAGTCAAAGATTCGGCCAAGTCGAAATCGAGCTCTCCGTCGTTCAAAAATTTGAACCGATCTTTGTAAGTATCTCGAAATCGTTCAAAATAATTTTTAGAAATTTTTCCGTGATTTTTAGATCACCGGAGGACGTCGCACGCGCCGCCGTAGTCGAGTGAACGCTGGAAACCTATTTTGACCGGTTTAACCGGTTTTGACCCGGTTTTGACCGGTTTGACCGGTCACAACCCGACCGTTGACCCGACCCGACCCGTTGACCCGACCCGACCCGACCGTTGACTCGACCCGTTGACTGGTGTTATTCTGGGAATTAATTTGGTTTTGGTGCTATTTTGGGAATTAATTCGAAAAGGGTGCTATATTGGTAATTATTTTAAAAAGGGTGATATTTGTGTAAAATGTTTGACAGTTTGTTGATCTCCTTTGACCAGAACTTTGACCAGCTTTGACCGGCTATTAAACGACCTTTGTTTTCGACCACAAATACCTATCCTGATAGTTTTCGACGTCCCGAATTCGTTTTTGGGGCCATTTCACTAAATTAAAACTTGAAAGTCTCCAAATCGTCAGTCAAACTCGTTGACTTTATTTTTGACCAAGAATTCGAAATTTCGGAAGGTCATACTTTATGTTTTTCGACGTCCTGAATTTGATTCCGAAGTCCGATTTGCCAAATTCTGACCCGAAATTTCCGAATCGAGCTTGTAAACCTAAAAGGCTTAATATTTTAATATTTTGATTATTTAAATGAGATTTGGTTAAGGATTTATTCAATAAAAATATTTTATGAATGTACTCGTGTTTCACCTGAGCAAGGATCAATTAGGTCCGGTGTTATCCGTTCGTTAGATCAGCCTGAACCGCGTACTACGAGAATTACCCGTAGGTTTCCGTATATTATTTAAATAATATTTAGATTATTTATATTAGGATTCCAATATGGATTTTTCTAATTCGTAGGATCTAGCGTTGCAGCAGAACGTGATCGACAAACCCAATAGTAGGATTTCCTATCCGATTTCTCAGAGTGTGACAGGTGTGTTTCCTGACAGTGTTATTTTACTGTTTTAAACTATCATATAAATAGTTTATATGATTTTTGACCTGGATTCTGATATGATATTTGACCTGAATTTTTATATGATACTTGACATGGACTCTGTTTTGTACTTGACTTGAATTATGTTTTAATTTTTGATATACATATATCCGTTATAAGCGGAATATGATTATTTTGGGGGAATAATGTTGGAGAAAGTATACCTGGAGGTTTCTCTGCTGTGTGCTCAGGACCTTATTTACCGGCTCCTCTGCTGTGTGTTCAGGACCTTACTGGACTTGTTGGTAGGTGTATGGTTCTGGGGAACCTACACAATTTGGACTTGATGGATGGGGGTAGTATATATATATATAAAACATGTTTGATAACTGATTTTACTGGAATATTTTATTCGTACGTTTTATACACTGTTTGGAGCACACTGAGCTTTTTAGCTCATTCTATAGTTTTTACCCTTTTTCAGATAATAGCAAACCATAAGCTAACAGATTTGGCATCAGGGGAGATCAACTACTTATTTTGTACGAACATATATTTCTATATGTTTTTCAGTTATATTTTGTGATATGTATTTGCTATCGTTTTGGACATATCTGTAATATTAATATATTTTGTTTAATATTCTATAAGCTGTAATAAAAAAAAACTCTGAATGGGATATGTGACCACTTAGGTTTGAGTCTAACTTACCGTCTGGGGGTTACAAAAACAAAATCCAACATTATCTCAAACATGTTTCAAACATGACAATGAACAATCCCATATATCCCCCTCCACCTTCAAACCAAAAACCAAGATCATCGGCTCCATATCAGTACGGACTGTATGTACTGTTTAGGTTCTAAATCGATAAGATTAAGTTCCATTTCGATATATCAGTGTGCTTTAGTCTATCTCTTCCGGTATCCTAAAATAGTGCATCCTTCATACCAATAGAAAACCACAAAATCCAACATTATATCAAACATGACAATGAGCAATCCCAAATATCATCACCTTGAAACCAAAAACCATGATTATCGATACCATATCAATACGGACCGTATGTACTGTTTAGGCTCTAAATCAATAAGATTCAGTTCCATTTCGATATGTCGGTGTGCTTTACTCTATCTTTTCCGGTATCCTAAAATAGTGCATCCCTTATACCAATATAAAACCACAAAATCCAACATTATCTCAAAATGTTTCAAACATGACAATGAGCAATCCCATATATCATCACCTTGAAATAAAAAACCATGATTATCGATACCATATAAATACGGACCGTATGTACTGTTTAGGCTCTATGTCGATAAGATTCAGTTCCATTTCGATATGTCGGTGTGCTTTACTCTATCTTTTCCAATATCCTAAAATAGTGAATCCTTCATGCCAATAGAAAACCACAAAATCCAACATTATCTCAAACATGTTTCAAACATGACAACAAGTACTCCATTAGATCATCAACTCAAAACACAAGCAACAAAAACATGGTAAAAATCTAAAAAATAATAAAAATTAAAGATTCTCTTTTTGCTCAATCAAAATTCATCCCTCTTCTCATGAAATCAATCACCGTTCTTGGGTCCCTCACCATCATCATGCCTATTAAACACAGTGGAGAAATTCGAAGAGAAATCGGAGTAAAGCAAGACAACCTTGGAGATGTTCCCATTGAGTTCTTGGATGAGTGCAACGTTTTTGACCATGTTGTCGTGGATCCTCGACTGATGATTGTCGTTGACCTGTTGGATCAACGCACGGTTCCTGTCCAAAACCGACTGGACCTGTTTGAAACTCTGATCGAATGTTGCCCAAATTTCAGGGTTGTCTCCATTTGCTCCCTGTGAATCTTGGTTCGCTTGGTGCTTCAGCTTCTTGTTGGTGTTACCCTTGTTTGTGGGGTTATTTTCCATGGGGTTTTTTATTCTTTTGAGGTTCTTGCACAAAGAAGAGCTTGTTCTGGTGTTTTATATGTAATAAAAATGGCGATTTCAGAATATTTTTGGGGGTTTCAGAGCTGTGTCTTTGTGAAGATGGAGGGTGGGGGATCTTTGAGGTTTACAAGTTTTCTTAAAGGATTGGAAAAAGCGGTGGAACTTGAGAGAAAGAAAAGTTCTACTTCACGCGCGACCAAAGCGATTGTAAAAAAGCATATATTACTTTCTACGGTAACTATATAAAGTTCGTATCTTTCACGTGCGTTAAATATCTTCCTTGGTCATAATTTAGAGTTTTTATTATATATTTTTAGATTTTATTAAAATACTAATTAAGTTTAAAAAATTAAACTGATATTTTAAATATAGTTAAAATCAAATTAGTTAATAATTTTTTATTAACTTGTAATATCACTATTATAACAAGATTTAACGCTACAAAAATCAATATACATTAATATTACTGATCAAAACATAACTTTTCATACATGTGATAGAACATTGTTTTATTGATCATTTGATTATTAAAAATTATAAAACAGTTATCTAAGTATAAAATGTTATTTTGTTGAGTCTCTTAATTATTAAAAGTTACAAAATGATCATTCAACTATTCATATGTTTCAAACTCGTCCTCTTTCGTTAAAAATTAATGATCGTTTGAGTTAGATATTAAACTACTGATTGGATATGATAAAATAACATGTTAATGATATCTACTAACACAATCTTTCAATCACATACTCAACAACATAATATTTCAAGTATTATCTCGACGATATAATGTAAATAGATAGTCGATCAAATAAATACAGCTTAAACAGTTGTACGATCATATTTTATTATATCTCAGTCAATAAATTAACGCTTAACTTAGAAGACCGTCAAATTTTTAATAAAAAATTACAAGTTTAGAACATATGAATAACGACTGTCCATTTTTCAACTTTTAATAATTAAGGAACTCAACAAAACATTACCATACAATCAATGGACTATTTTGTAAATTTTAGCAATTGGAACCCAACAAACTAGAATCCTACAATCGAGATGTCATTTTTATACTTTACCCTAAGGCTGCGTTTGGTTCACGGAATGTAAGATTACCAGTGGGAATAAAAGATTACCAATGAATAGGATTACTGGGAATGTTATATTTTGTGTTTGGTTGGTTTAGCAGGAATGTAAGATTAACGTGTTTGGTTAAAGGAATAAAATATTATTGAAATATATATTTAATCAAATTGTTCTTATTATATATTTATTTTTTTAATAAGTTAGAAAATATTTATATATTTTCTTTAAAAAAATTAAATTCATAAAATTTATGTACTTTTTTTTACAAATTGAAAATATAAAAAGGTTTAATGAAAGGGTAAAATTTTATTTTAACCCCTGAACTTCATATAAAATTTTAATTATAGATTGTTTTGGTAAATCTAAAATAATTTAAGAATAAATTTGTAATTTAACATTCGTAGAATTTTTATTATTCAATGACAAAATAAGGATATTTTGAAAAAAAAATTAAGGGCATTTTAATCTAAAAAACGGTAATCAATTAATACCTAAGGAAATAAGGTAATTACATACCCGATAATATACCAAAAAAATTCACTATTGGTAATGTAAGATTATTGGGAATGACATTCCCGACCAACTCAAACGCGGGAATGACATTCCCGACCAACTCAAACGGGGAATGTGGATTCCATTCCCATAGGAATCTCACATTCTCCCAACCAAACACAACCTAAGTATTAGTAATTATGAGTTTAGTTACTCTAAAAATAATTTAAATTAATATATTTTTAAACACGCTATTATAACGTTTCAATTTTTACTCCTACAATGATATTTTAGCCTGTTACCAAAGTATAAATTTAGACGTATTTAAGTTTTTAATATAAATTATTAGTTCATCAGTTTATTTTTTATAATAATTAACTCTAATCATAATTAATATATGTTGTTTATGTTGTTTAACGTTTATAAAATACACCAGAATTATCATATGAAGATAAACCACGCGCCAGATGTGAGAATGGTTATAAGGCAATTCATAAATATCTTAGGGCGTATTTCCAATTAAAAAAGGGAAAATTTGGAAAAGTTCACTTTTCTGTCCCCAAATATCCCCCATTAAAATATCGCGAAAACTTGCTTTTTAATTTTTAAAAAGGTTAATACCACAAAAGATCCCTACAAATTGTTCAAGTTTTACATTAGTCCCTACACTTCAAAACATTTTAATTGAATCCCTAAAATGTTAGTACTACATCAATCAAATCCTTCTATGAGCCTAAATGTAATTTAAGTGTTAAATGCCAATTCATATTTAATACGAATAGCTTGAATCAATCAAATTAAAAGATAAATAACATCATTAAAATTTAAGAAGTTTTTCTTTTGTCTATTGAGTTTAATTCAATTAGCATTGTCGTTGGTACATTAAACCAGAGAACATGAAATCAAAAACATTTAAAGCATTCAATATTCTTTGTTCTAATTAAACTAATCTAAACTCAATTCGATTATCATATGTGATTGATCAAATTAAACCTAAATGATTTAAAATTCAAATAATTTAGAGTTTCAAGTTCAGTTGACATATGCCAGACCATCTGAACCAAGCATCATATTGATATACATGTGTACAACATTTGTTCACCAATATCAGTCAGCCAAAACTAGAGTAAATAGGTTACCTTCATGGGATGCATCTTGATGCTAGAATATCACAGCTTAATCAAACGGCTTCCTCTTCCTTCCAAGAACTGAAGCTCTTTGAAGCCTAGGACCGCCCATCCGCCACTTCTTAAAAGCTGCCATCGAAGCTTGGGCTCTTCATACACTGCAAAGATCAAAACAAAACATAAATGCTACGCTGCTCCGATTCATTATCTCTCTCAAAAGACCATGCATCAGACACTAGTGTCTGATATACGCGTTTCAAACCTCTATGGATTTCTTCTCTGATCATACAAGTGTTGGATACACGCTCGAACCCGATACTCAGACTCAAGTTTGAATATGTAATATTTATACATAGAAAGGAGGCATAACAACGAAAGAAATAAGATTTACATAAAGAAAAAGGGATTCTCACGATTTGTTTCTTCTTTTGTTAGAAGGGTCAAGAACTTGGACGTTGTTGTGAATACTGCAGTATATGCCTTGGTTAGGATCTCCTTATATCTGATCTTGAATGCCGATAAGAGCAAGATTTCAATGGTTTTATCACCAACCCTATCATATGGAAACGGAAATTAGTTACTGAGAATTCACTTCAAATATATTATTTCGACTTTTTTATTTTTCTTAAACTACTTCTACCTAACAACTATATCCTACACACATTAAGACATGGATATAGAAATATAATCCTTTGTACTTGGAAAACCTACTAGCTAGACAGCCAAGGGATGGACTAGGAGCACAAGTCCTATCGTGTTCGAACTCTTCATTTTTAAAGTACTCTTGTATGATACTCGTGGCCCAACACATGAACATGAGGATATAGCCTCAATAGATCCTCCAAATACTTAGAAAAAACTAACCATACCCATTTCGACACTCGATTATACAAAACATAGCACAAGTCAGCCTATGAAATCCACTAAATGGACCATCCCCTCAACTCCCCGAGAAATCACTTCGACTGACATCAAGGGTGTGAGATGTCAAGCGTTAAGTCATTCATTTTCCAACGATCCTCCAAATTCATGAAAAAAAAAATCTAACAGCACATGTGCTGGATAGGTCCTATACACACTTGATCCAAGTAACATAGGTTGTAAAAGATACTATAAGTATTGAAAAAGAGACTTACAGTGGTGCTATCTTGCATCCAAACTCATAAAAGTATGGAGACCGAGATTTAAGATCCACACAAGCTGCATCAGCTTGGATTTCCAATCGTGTTCTGAACATATAAAAGAAACATCATTAATAACACAGAAGGACAACTTTACGAGAACATAAATCAATCATCAGCCTGCACTCTCAAATAAGTTAATCACCATTCTTCCATCGCATATGGACATACATACGTGAGAACTAATAACTATTTACTTCTTCAAATAAATTCAAACAACAATCATTCATAAATAAAATCAAACACCTACAGGTTACTACCAAACCAAACCAAGTTTACATAACTGATTTTGGCAAAAGAACCTCCTTGATTCAAACCGTGTATAGCACACATTTGGATCGATAAAACATTAAGATCTGTGATTCAGACATCTCCATGGAACATCAACGTATCGAGATTCGATAGTTGCACCAACATAAACATACATCAATAATATCGGGATTCAGACATCTCCCTGGAACATCAATGCATCGAGATTCAATAGTCGCACCAACATAAACATACATCAATGATATGGGGATTCAGACATCTCCATGGAACATCAATGTATCGAAATTCGACATTTGCATCGACATAAACATACATCAATAATACCGGGATCCAGACATCTCCCAGGAACGTCAATGTATCGAGATTCGATAGTAGAACCAACATAAACATACATCAATAATACCGGGATTCAGACATCTCCCTGAAACATCAATGTATCGAGATTCGATTGTCGCACCAACATAAACATACATCAATAATATGGGGATTCAGACTTCTCCCTGGAACATCAATGTATCGAGATTCGACAGTCGCATCGACATAAACATACATCAATAATACCGGGATTCAGACATCTCCCTGGATCATCAATGTATCTAGATTTGATAGTCGTACAGACGTAAACATCATCAATAACATTGAGATTCAGCCAAATTACCTAATATGAAAAAAGTGAGCTATTTAGGGGGGAAATACCTTTGAATGAAACAGGCGGGGACGCTTATGGATATGGCTTGCCTTAAGTATAATTCTTGAGCAAGCCACAATGGTAGCTCCACTTTTGCTCCTTGTTCAACCTAAGAATCAATCATTAGAAACTTAACATCTTCTTTTTTTCAATTTTTCGCCTTAAAAATGGGATTAGAGTGGGAACAACACTTACGGAGTTTGTTTCGGAACTGGGATCGATTATAACTCCATTTGCTGCTTTATGAAAAACAACTGGAACAAACTGAAATTTACGGGAAAAAAAGATCTGAAACTTTTTTCGATTAGGAAATTGAGAAATTAAAAGTAAGCAAAAAGAGGGGTGGGAGTGTTGAATCAACCTCTTCCTCTGCAAGAATATCATCGCTGTTGTAGTAATCTGCCATCTTTTCTTTCTTTTCCAAATCTCTTCCTTTTTCTGGATTTCTGAAGGGATTGGGGGAAAGAAAATTATGCGGTGGTTAAAGCTTATGAGATTTTGAATCTGTATGGGAATTTGAGAGGGGAAATTAAACGTTTTTTTTAACGTGACATATTGAAATTTAATTCTATCATTTTCTCATGTTTGGTTCAAATTTTCAAAAGAGAAATTGAAATATAATTCAGGGAAAGTAAATTTCATCCATAACATTATGAAATTGAAATCTTTTGGAGGAGATAATGTGAAATTTGATCATACTATCCTCATCAATCTTTTGGTATTTGGGTCAGATTTTTAAAAAAAAATTAGGGTCGGGTTGGGTCATTTTTTTAAGTTCACTATTCGGGTCGGGTTTTTTTAATTGTGATATTCGGGTCGGGTTTTTTAAGTTTGATATTCGGGTTGGTCGGGTTTTTTTAAGTGTAATATTCAGGTCGGTTTTTTTAAGTGTGATATTCGGGTCTGTCGGTTTTTTTAAGTGTGATATTCGGGTCGGGTTTAGGGTGAAAAATATTCGACCCGAAAAAAAATATAATTTTACCTTATATATTTATGAATAATTACAATAATTACCCTCTATATATAATTTTTTTCAATTAAGTCACTATTTTTATTGAATAAAAATATATTTTTTATTTCGGGTCGGGTCGGGTTTCTAATTCATATATTCAGGTTGGGTCGGGTCGGGTGAAACTTTATTTTGGTCGAGACGAGTCTCGGGTGGAGGTTCCCTTGTTCTCGGGTCGGGTGGACCAAAAACCCGACCCGATTTGACCCATGGTCATCCCTAATTGAGATGATTTTATCTTATGATGTTTATTAGTATGATTTTTATAATTTATTGAAATGAATATTCAATCAATAAAATGAAATTTTAATATTTTTAAAATTTTTATAATATGTTGTACATGTAAGTTATAAAACAAACTAAAATTAAACAAAAAAAATAAGAATGACAATTATGTCATTTTACATTACTGAAATCAAATTCATCTGACATGTCTGTGAACCAAACAGAATATGGAATTGAATTCCAATTCAATTTCCTGTCAACCAAACAGGTTTTAGATTCAGATTTCAATTCCTTCACAGATTCTAATTCCCTCATAAACATTTCAACGAATTAAACGCCACTATGTAATTTTCAGATTAGAAAATCAGGCTTGATCTAGTAAAATTTTAGGCCCTAATTAACCCAAATGGGAATACGCGAGCCCAACTCATTTTAACTGATATTTTTATCAATTATTATTATTATTTAATTTATCTAATAATTCGGGATGATTAAAAATTAATATATGTTCATAATTTTCATCATATCGATAACGCACATTCTATAGACGCAATTACTCGAACCTATATCTTCAAAGAGAATAGTATTTTCTTGCCCGGGATACTCCCAAGGTTCATCGGTTGGTCTCCTCACTAAGATCACTCAATGAGTTCTATTATTTAAAAATTAATAATAACAATTAATTTTATTGAATAAAAAATGCAATAAAATTATAAGAATAATTTACATATATAAATAAATTAACTAATATTAAACAGTTATTTAATCTAAATTCATCAAAGTATATAAAATAATGATTAAAGAATAAAATAAATTTATATAAAAAAACTTTAAAATTCAATCAAACAACTCAAAAAAATATAAATACAAATAAACATGATTATCAACGGAGAAATACGTAATTAACTAACATATATATATATATATATATATGATATTGAGAAATTAACTTTAACAGGCCTCAATTTATTTATTTATTTAAAAAAAAACTTTAAAATGACTCCACCCGTTCTTTCTTTAAAGATTTTGAATATCTATCAATGATAGAATTAGTTTGAGAATCCAAAGAGTAGATCAATAATACAACTAAATAAACATTAATTAAAGATGTGGCACAAACTCCTGCCTGGAAGGCAAAAATTAATTAAACAAAATAATATAATATAACTCATATATAAAATAAAAATATGATAAATTAGTGGTCAGCGACCACTCAAAAATAAATAAATACAAACTGAGACAATTTACTCGATCAAATAATCATATGCTTTAGTTTTATCATTGAAATAAATCCAGTTTTTTTTTCTCTTTCCAGAAAATCAATATTTTTCTTACAGTCACAGTTCATCAATCGCCCACTTGAATGGGGGTTTTACAAAAATAATTATGTGGTATTTTAAGAAATAATGAACAAAAAATCCCATGAATCTTATTCCTTTCTTTTACGTGATAAAGAATCAATGAGTGTGTCGATCCTAACTTGAACAGCCTGCACCGAGGTGGTTGAGAGACTGCTTTCGGAGTCGAATCGGTGTTCAAGTCAGTGCTTTCCGGACTTGTAAAAGCCACAAGGCTATTTGTAATGCTAAAAGGCGAGCTTCGAAGAGGAATTCCTCGAGCCAGATATTAATCCGGCTAAATAATGATTTCGTCTGCATCATCTTTGCCTCAACAACGGCTTCGGAAGAAACTTTTCCGATTATCAAAAATGTCTCCATAGAAGAACCTTGCAACTGTGAAGCAGCAGCCACAGACAACTTAGTGAATGAACCGAAATTCAAAAGTTAGGTGAAGTGCTCAAGCAATAAGCTCCTTATCATGAACCAGTCTGACATGTATTGAAACATAACTACGACAATATATCCCATACCCGGGACCAGCAACGGAGTCCGAGTAACATTTAAATAAAGAACACAACGAAATTGAGTGCAGAAAGTTAGAGAATACCAGAGAGTTATTGACTGCTCTTAAGCAATCATTTGTCTTCAACATTAATAGAATAACACGGGGCAGTCGCCTGAGAAGTTCGGATATTTGAGGGAAATATTGAGATGCATACATCTGCCAGAGAAAACAGATAAGGCCAAGCAAGAAGTGAGAGCCGATCAATTAAAAACAATCCGACGATCAAACTCGTATTAGCAAAACAAAATCTCTAAATACAAAAACCGAGCTTCAATGGATTTCAATTCCTATTCGGAATGAGGGGGAAATCATTTTTGGCATCTATAAAACATCAAAACTTATAATAACTGTCACCTGTAGTTCGGAACTGTCGGTGTCTTTTATGACCAAATGATCCATGGCAGGGTCAATGACCCGATTCCAGGGCCTCATTGTTACAATCCCCGCAAATAGCACATACAGGTCCTCCCCAGCACCCAGTTTCACGCTATGTTCTTTTATTCCATTAGCATCAGAAAACACCAATGCCTGCAATGCAAGTCAAAGCATGAATTGACGTATCAATTTGTCACAGGCAAACCCTACGTTATCCAACTCGGGAGTGGGTGTCAATAGGAGCATATGTCCATGACAGGTATGTTTATCTTTTTACTAAGTTTTTCATGTATTTGAAGGATCTTTCGATGATCATATCTTCATACTCATGTTTGTATATGGATAAGATACAGGTAACCATACTTGATGAAAAATGACGCATCGGAGTAATGTGAGTAAAAACCATAAGCGCATCAAGAAATAAATCCAAACTTTTCAGGAGAAAAATGGCGTACCCTCCAAAGAGAAGCATAGCTGAATCTAGTGGAGAAGTCGAGTTCTTTATAAAGGCCATGGTCTAGTAATATCAGCTGTGGTTTTTTCTTCCCTGTGTACAAAAGGAGAAACATCACTAACCTGACTGTCGTATTGGAATAAGTAACTGAACTTCACAATCAAGCACACAGGGATCCAAAAAGAAGTACATCAGAGAACTCGGAATTTTAATGACTACAATATAGAGTCCCAAGAAGGAGATAAACTGGTAAAGCAGGTTTTTCATCAATTTATTATGAAGTTGGAACACTTAGAATCGTTTTTCCCCTTTTATGAATCAACCAAAAGTTCCCCAAAAGATGCCTTCACTCGAAGTTGTATTCAATACTAGCAGTGAACAAAATGCAACTAGTGCAAAATTGCAACTAGCTAAAGTATGACTGGAGAAATCCTCAAATTAATTCAACATAAAAAGAAATCCTCACCAAAAATGCTCCTTTTGCCATAAGGTAATGGACGAACTAATAGATTAGCAGCGTGTGGATCACAATGAACAAATCCATGTTTAAACATCATCTCAGCAAAAGTTTGACTAACCTGCATAGAATCGTATCACATATCATTCAAGAATAGTTTCTTGTACACATTTACAGCATCATATAAATGTAATCATTATATACATAGTACAAGTCTCATTCCCAAAACACACAAATGATTTTCCCAACATTGTTAATAAAAAGAAAAGCATGGGGTAGACATTATTCGCAATAACAAGCCAAGAACTTACTAATTTTGAAACTTCACCGGGCTGCATTCCAAGTCTACGAATGGAATTCACATCATTCACTTGTACACCGTCCATGAATTCCATTGTTAACAGCTTTGAGGTAGTTAAAGACCAAACTACCTCCGGAGCATAAACATAATCCGCAATATGAGGAGACATCTTACGGAAATTTTCCAAACATTTCACGCTGTTCTTTGCCTCTATCAAAAAGTCTAGCTCCTGAAGTTAAAAGGTAAGAACCAAAATCAAATGATATATCACGTAGGATGGAAAAAAAGCTAAGCATATAAGAGGCAAATGAAAAAAATGAAAATATAAGTATCCAAGAAAGAGACAATTATGCATATCTTCTATATCCACCTTTTGCAAGCAAGGGTGCATTCAAAGGTATAAATCCAGAAAATAAAGCACAAGAATACCATGTCACAAGAAAATCAATTGTACAATATATAGATTTATTAGAATAATGTATTTATAGAATTTTTAAGGATATCATGATAAAGGAATTCCACCAAAACATCAAAGAGAAGGTTATCAAAGTAACTTGCCTTGGGTAAACTTTCTCGAATTTCAGCAACCAACCATCTGCATGCACAAGACAAGAAACCCATCAGTCCTCACCATTTGGAACCACATAAACCCATAAGAATATGTCAGATAATGCACGCTTGAAATTTAAAAGAAAACTGTGGTCATGACTCGCGCCAAGAAACCATGTTTCTCCGACTCTTTGTTTTGTAGAAGTACCCATACATAACACTTGTTCCCAACACATATTGAAACATAAGTACAGAGATATGATCCTCTAAGAACCCTCCAAAGACAAAAAGAACAGAAAGAATTGAACATGACTGTGTCAGAGATGTACCACTCACACCCAAGTCCAAAGAACATAACTAAGAAACAGTACCTATAATCAAAAGATGGGAATAGCCAATGTAGAGTGTTGATAAGAAATTCCACAGTAGCTTGATCTGCAGCTGCAGTATCTGTCATGTGAGTGTGTTGAACCTGAATTTCAAGAAAAATGATTCAGACATGGAACATAAATCCTAACAAGAAACACCCAAATCCTATATTTACAAAAGTCAAATAAAAAATTTTCCAAGGTGAAAGTAACAAAGAATGAAACCTTCACAGCAACTTTTTGACCATCATGCGTACGAGCGACATGAACCTGTGCAAGGGAAGCACTTGCTATCGGTTCTCGATCAAATTCATCGAAAACCTGCACATGAAAAGCTTGTCTAAATGAACAAGTATAGCTTCTACATGTCAAAAGAAACATCCATAGCACTTATTATATAGGAAAAACAGATATCCATCCTTTATAATCATTAAAAAAAACAATTGAATTCAGCTTAGTAAACATCGTTTTTTTCAAACTGATACTTACTTTATCAGGCGTCTCTCCAAGTTCCTTCTTGAAAACTTCACACACTTGATCGTATGAAGAAACCGGACACTTATTCAACATCGACTCCCTCATTGTAATAACATACTCTTGAGGAACTAGGTACTCCTAATTTTTTTTTTTTAAAAAAAAAGAGCAAAATCTTTTTGAATCAAGTCTACAATGGAATAGGATCTAATAAATCCGAAAACCTATCTGCAAACATTCTTCAACAAAAATAGTCAGCATAACTAAAAGCATACCAATTGCCCAATATGTTGGCCAAGCTTGATATAAATCCCTCCATTTATAAAACAAAGCTCTTGAAGCTTTCGTGCCGATCTTAAATGAACTTCATGTTTAATCTTTGCTCTCTCTTTACTTCCTTCGGGGAGTCCCCATAATGAGTATTGATAATCTAATAGCATAATTCAAAAGGGTCACCAAATTTTGAAAGAAAAATAAACAAATAAATAAAAGTACCCAAATTCTCAATCACTGGCTAAATTCCATGGCATTATAAGAAACTGGTTCTTTTTAAATCAACATCGAAACTTTAAGCTTTAGCTAACTATTTTAATAAAAAGAATCTACAGTTTTGAAAGAAATCAAAATTTGCTTTCTTAGGTACCGAAGACGACGGAGGCAGCAGTTGTGGCGTCACGGAGAAGCCGGACAGGGACGGTGGTGCAGAGCTTGGCAGCCGAAGCGGGGTCGTCTGAGGTGGCGACAGCTGCGGCGGCGGCTCCCGTACAGAGGGTGGTGGCGACAACCGCTAGCTTGGCGCGCGAGCGCCATAGGGATCGGGTTGCCATGGTTTCTCTTGGGGAGGTCGCTCGCAAGGTTTACGGAGACAAGCGAGCGAAAATAACTCTCTTGTGTTTTCGGAGTTTTTTTTTAATCTGTATTTACTTATTTACTGTTATATTTGAATTTAGGGTTTAATTTGTTAGGGGAATATGTCCATTAAAAAAACGGGCCAATAGCCCATAAAGTGTGTCATTTTGTTGGGCAAGTAATGGTTATTTTGTTTTTTATTATTTGGATTTAAATTATAGATGCCTATGGGTCGAATCCAAGTAAAATGTTCGGATAATATAATTGGGAGAAAGATTTTTCTTATATATTTTATCTAAGACTTCATTTTTTTCAACTAGGATAATATCTATAGTGTTTGGAGAAAATAGTGGGATGTATGGTGACTTTGACGAATACGACAAGATTATACGGTTTTTTTGGAGAAGGCGTATAGACAACATGACGTATTCTCAATCTTCATACATAACTCTAGACAGTTTACATCTTCGATGGGTGCGAAAATGAATGATGTCATTATTGACATCAAACACGAATAGTTCAATTTAGCGTGGAAGCAAAAATGGTCATGTCATTGTTGGTGTCAAGCATAGATAGCTTAACTTGGTGACACGAGCCATGGACGACATGTTAATGTCGAGCAGTAATGGAGGAGGAGGAAGAAGAAAAAAACGCATAGAGCTCCATGTATCTTCCTATGTCATGCAAAAGACGCCAAATACTCCATGTGTCTTCTTCACAACAGTGTTCACTTCACCTACTTGAGAAAATAATTTCAAAAGTGCAATATTAGGTTAGTTTTTCCCGTATCAACATTATAACGTTTTTATCGTCGAATCCTAACTAAAATATTTATAAAAACTTAAATTTATTTACAACTAGATGGATATAGTTTGAATAGTTTTATTTGCTATTCAAGATAAATAAATTATTTGATTCACCGTGAATGATATTAAAAAATCTACAAGTAAAACTTAAACATTATCATATATTATAAGGTAATATTATAAAAATAAAAAATGAAATTATAATTTTTATACACTGACAATGTAAATTTAATAAATTATTGTATACCTCATTTTATACATTGTTAAGAAAGATAAAAATTCCTTAGTATTCTGTATATACTTTGTTATATTATATTTAAGATACGAAATGTGAAAATAAAAAGATTTTATGTCCATTAATCTAAAACTTAATTATTTTCCATAATAACTTTGAAAATTGTATTTAACAATATTTAATTTATATAGTTGAATTGTGATAAAATTATATTTAATTTATAGTCTTGGTTCTAATTTGAAACCCAAGCTGCATCATATAATTTACTATTAATATATATACATTTATAATACTAATATAGATCAAATATAAAAACAAAATCAGTAGAGCATAGATGGACTAAGAGGACGGCTGAGGGCAGTCTCTCCCTAAAAAAAAAAATTTTTTTAATTTTTATATAACTTAGATATTTCATTTGTATTTTCTACTGATAACAAGTTTTTTGCACTCCCTAAAATTGTATAAATTCGTCCATTCTTAAAATTTTATGAAAAAAAATACTGATATAAAACTTTACGTCCGTTCTTGATTAGAAATATTTTATGGGTGAGAAGTCCATATTTATCTTTACTTGTCTATTAATATTAGATTGGTATAAAATAAGATTTTATGTATATAAGTGAAATAAAATATTTTGATAAAATGTATATTATAAAAAATGTCACCGAATAATGTTGAATATAGTGATAGAAATTTAATCTTGGAATTAACTAATCAAAAGTTTATTTTTTTCTATAGATAGTAATTTTTATAAATATTAATATTCAATTTATCTTTGACTAATCCATATCAAATATTATATTTGCTCACTGCAAAGGAATATTTTCAAATTAATTTATTTCATCTATAATGTTAGAATTCAAATCTCTAACATTGTTTAATTAAACTTAAAATCTCATCCAACCAGACAGTTAACATATAATTTAAAATAATATTTTTTTATTATACTATTTTAAAAGACTATATAAATTAAAAGTAGAGAAGATAAAAACTCAAAAATTAATATTAATTTTAATTATTAATTGATTAACTTGTGACACTAACTAAATTAAAAATATTAGGGTAACATACACAAATGATCATAAAATTATATTAAAATAATTTATTGGTCATTAAAGTTTCAGAAGTTATAAAATGGTCATTACAATTATCAGATTATTATAAAATAATCATTAAACTTATCAAATTGTTACAAAATGGTCATTAAAACTTATCAAACCATTACAAAATAGTCCTTAAACTTGTAAAAAATTATCACCATTTTATAACATGTAGTGATCATTTTGTAATAGTTCGATAAGCTTAGTGATCATTTCATAACTTTCAAAACTCTAATAACCAAAAATATATTTAAATACGATTTAGTGACCATGTGTATAATTTATCAAAAAATTTAATAGTGCAATAAATATTGAAAAAATTGCAAATTCTAAAAAGAGTGCAAGCATCATGCAAGCAAGATCCCCACTTGTTTTCTAGAAAAGCATATCATGCCATATTATATCTCTCACCGTGTGCAAGACGTGTGCATCAAATAATAATGAATCCCAATGTCAAATCAGTGTGATCTTTTATCACTTGGTTTAACTTATCCAATAAAATATAGGGTAAATTACATAATTGGTGACTCAACTATAAAATCATAAAAAGGAATTTTTGCAGAGAAATCATCAAGGTTAGGTTGTATTTTCATTTTAATCATTCAATCATAAAATAGTTTTCATTTGCCACGCATGATTAATTCCTGTTAGTGAATGTGTTCTTATATTATGAACAATCTACCAAATATAGCACATGGGTTTAATGGATAAGTAGTTCGAGGATTTTTACAAGGACTCGGCCTAAGTCCAACCCTTAACGATTTTTTTTTCATTTTTCAACCAATTAGGTGGTAACACATGTCACCACGATACCGGAACACGTGCCACTAATGAAAATTAATCATGGGTGATTAAAATGAAAGTTTTTCATAGTCAAGTGACAGAACGAAGAATGAAACTTTATTTTGATGACTTGTTTGCCCTCTTTAAAGACCAAAATGATTCTTTTTAATAGTTGGATGACCAAATTGTGTGATTTACCCTTGTTTCATTAGAAATATTAGTTTGAATGAAATATTTTGACAAAATTATTCAAATAATCAGCTGAGAAAAAAATTACATAAATAAGGTGTAGTAGAAATTATTTTCTGAACTACGATCTTTGTTACGGTATTTACTTAAAATTGTCAACATTACATAACGACTTTTGAAAAGTGTATGGATTGCTCAATAATTTTAGCATACAGACAATACAAAAGAACATAATTGTACACAAAAATCGTTGTATAATCCTAATCACTTCCACTAAATATTATAACAAAAATCTTTATTTAAAAAATATTTTTTAATGCATCTTATATGATTACTTTTTTTCTCACTCCATTATTCAAACAAAATAACCAATATGTTTCATAAGATAGAATAAAATTAGTATTTTTGTTTCCTTTGTATCATTTCGATTTCTCGAATCGAGATTGATTCGATGTTGGCACCTAATTTTGTCATCTCATAAATATTATTTTCTTGAGTCCCTCAACTATTAAAAGTTACATAATGGTATTCCGACTATAGGGAGTTACTTTGTTGATATTCTCGACTATTAAAAGTTACAAAATGGTCACTCAACTATTCGTTAAGTTCCAAACTCGTCATTCTCTACAAAAAATTAACGGTTGTCTAAGCTAGACGTTAACATTCTGACTGAGATATGATAGTTGTTTGAGATTATGAGATCATATTTTATTACATATCCGTCAGCAGGTTACGTCCAACTCGGACTACCATCAATTTTTTAATGGGAAAATACGAGTTTGAAACATAATTAATAGTCAGATGACTATTTGTAACTTTTAATAGTTGAGGGACTCAACAAAGCAACTCCCTATAGTTAGAGGACCATTTTATAACTTTTAATAATTGAAGGACTCAACAAAATTCCTATAGTTGGGGGATAAGTTGTGTACTTTACCCTAGCATTTTTCTAGAGCAGGTTTGAAAAATGCTCCATGTTATCCCTTGGCAATTAGCATGGACCCAAACCCAAAAAGATTATTGTCGATTTCCGTATTAATTATTTGAAATTGGTGTACATAATTTATTCGTTGCCACGCAATTTCTTACGTCAAAAATACCTTTTTAATATCCAAAATCAAAACATCTTATCGAGTGGACAATTTTAAAGAACGCAATTAGACATTTAATATTTTTTAGGTATATAAGTTTAATTTTAATTGATTCTTATTTATAGTTTAATGTTATTTAGTTAAAGACATAATGTTTGTTATATATTTAAAAGAGATAGGTTAAAATTTTTAAGTATAAATATATGTAATCTTTAAAAAAATTATTTACCTAATTGCATCAAAAAACAAAATTTGTATACCTAATTGCACCATTAAAAATAGATATCTAATTACACTATTACAAAAAGTAACACACCTAATTTATCATCAAGAAAAAATAGGTGTCTAATTGTAAAAAAAATGATAATTACACATAAATATCAAAGTTAGACGCTAACAAATAAATATAATTATTCTATTATCTAATTTCTAATCACGTGATTGTCATATACAAATACATGTTCGTCACAAATATATTTTTTAAGATAATATACTTCAGAATTATATGATATTCATGTATTAAAATTTATAACAAAAAATTTTAAATTTTTTGTTGTGTTATTTAAATTTATTTTTTATCATGTCACAATAATAAATAATATCATTCTATTTTTTATCAAAAAAATTTAATTATCCTATTATATATGTTAGGCCTCGTGATCCATTTTTTGTCATCTAGAAAATGTGCCAAGTTTGGGTGAAATTTGACAATTAGGCGGCTTTAGACTTCCAATAAGTATGATTTTATAATGAATCCAAATATATCAAACCAAATCATTTAACAAATACAAAATGGCTGCTTCGTAGACCTTTACAACTCGTGACGTAGGTATCTGATCTTAGATAGAAATTTTAAAAATTTAATCATTTATTTGATGACTCTACAATTTGATTATATTAACTTGGTACATAACATGTTTTATTTGATGTCAAAACTTTTTTTAAAAATTAAATTTAAATTTATATAAATAAATAAATAAATAAATGTTCTTCATTAAAATTATGAACATTGATGGTAGGCATATGATTCCGACAATGTTTAGGACCCGATTGGATTATAGTTCAATAAATAGGGATAAGGGGGGAGATAGAGAAATATGGAGGAAAAAAATAAAAGATTATATATATATTTTTTAAAACGGTCTCATTTTAATCATATCATCATAAAGAAACTACGGTTTACGCCAACGTATCAATTATGAATTAACGATATAATGTTATAATTGAAAATTAAACTAAAGTTCAATATTAAATTTAACTCAATTGAAAATTAAGTAGTATAAACTATACACCACTTAAAATTAAGTGATATTTACACAATTAATCTTTAAATGTATAGGCAAATTACATGAATAGTCACTTAGTTATAGGGTAGGTTATGTTTAGACTATTCAATCGAGTCAATTAACAATTTAATTTATATAAGTTAAATCATATACCGTTTACAATTAATGAAAACACTAATGTGATAATAGGTAAATTTGTATGATTACACATTTGATTCTCATTATTTATATATTTTATTAATTTGATCGGTCTTTAATATTCATGTTGCCGAGTTTGATGCACTTCACTCTCATTTTGGTTCTTAATTTTCTTTAAAAAAAATTGGATTAAACTGATAAAATATATAAAGAATAATTATTAAATATATAATTTTTAAATTTTTACATTATATTTTGTTAATTTGATGACTATTCAAGTAATTATTTCTGTGGATGTGTGTTAATCACTAATAATTAACAAATATTTAAACAAATATCAAATTATAATCATCACAAACTCTTTAAAAAAGTAATTTATTCAAAATTATATCTAACCTGAACCAGAATAAACTTATCGGACCGAACCGATAATTCAAGCCGAGGTCAGTCGTTTATTGACCGTTAACAATCCCCACCCCCACCTAATATCTTTGTCATTTGTCATCACTTTCGTCACAAAGGCCAAAATCCACTGTCAAACAATTTGAAACCTTCCACCGCACTTCAACTCCCATTTCATTTCATTTTTAAAGCTTAGAAAATCCTCCATTTCCTTCTTCTATTTCCCAAATCTCCCAAATTTTCAAACCCTCTTCGCTGTACATAACATCTCCCAAATGGGTTTCTCAAAGGAAGAAAAATCAAGAAGGATTTGGAGGGTTTTCAAGACTGTGTTTTTCTTAATAACAATGGCGATCTCGTTTCTCGTGTTTTCTGCTCCGGTTTTTCTGGTCCTTGCCGATGCGATTTTGCCTTCTGCTTTGTTGTCTGCTTCTATTTCTCCTTCCTACTTATCGTTGAAGAACCTTTGTTCGTATTTGGATAACTATGATTTTAGATCTTCTCTTATTGATATTCCGATCATATCAATCATCAGATCAGCCGTCATAATCTGTAAGCTAATCTTATCCGAATCGCCTTTTTCTTTTCGAGGTTGAAATCGAATACGATTTAGCTGAATTATTACTAAATCAATTTAGGCTTAATCTCAACAACAACAACAATAGATTCATGCCTTCCCCTTCTGAATTATTACTTAATGTTTAATTAAATGGCTAATTTGATCCATATTTTTTTTATTTTTTGAATATTTTACCTCATAACATTTTATTTTGAGATCAAAATAGTAAAAAAGAATAAGAGTCAAAATAAGAATTTTATTAAGTTTTAAAATCTTTTTATCCTATAATAAATAGTTAGCTCAAAATACTAAAAAATGACTAAAATAATCATTTTGATAAATGGTGGGACTAAATTTGATATTATGTTTTTTTGCTGCAGGTGTTTACAGTTTTTGTGATGGGCCAAAACTTTCGAGGGGACCATACCTGGGAATCACAATGATCTGTTCGATTTCATCGTTGGTTTTCGTTTCAATAAAAGCTTCGTTTGTGTTCAGTCGGAGAATTCCTAGAGAAGGTCATGTTACAGCCATGGAAGCTGCTCTTTTCATTTCTTCATGGGCTCTGGCAATTGCACACGTAATCGTGGCGTATAGAACAAGCTGCAGAGAAAGAAGGAAGCTGCTTGTCTACAAAATTGACATTGAAGCCGTAAGCTTTCTATCTCTATTCCCATATGAAATTTATGGATTACGAATTAATGTTACAATTGAAAGTTCAATATTAAAGATGATTGATGGTTTAATTTATCCGAATAATTAATGAATGTTGTCTTGAAACTTTACACAGAATGGGTATCCAAGGTACCAAAAGATTCTCCCACAAGAAAGAGCCAAGTAAATGAAATACTACTAACAATGTTTTCGGCTCATCACATCCTTCTTTTTCAGATTCCAGGTAAAATATTAATTCTCATCTGTCGGATCATAATTTTAAACTTGTTTATTCGATATTCGAGTTAGTTCAATCTAAAATAAATGATTTTTCCGATTCGAATAGGTTTAACTAGTCGAAGAAAAATAGGATTTCTTGTGATCAGTCCATTTGATCTTTTATAAAGAAGTATTTAAGGTAGGTTTGGTAATAATGTGGTAGCCATGAATCTTCAGATGATTAACTCATGCTTCTTTTCTGCAGATTTAACCAAATACCAATCAGTCGCATGAAATACAAAGATCACACGCAGCAGATATATTGATATATATATATATATATATATATATGTAAATTGAGGTAATGATAAAACATACCTCAAATGATTGAGTGTACAGTATGTAAATATTTATTAGAAAAGGAATGGGCCAAAGGCCTTTTCAATATCCAAATTCGGATAACATAAATGGGTCAAAGACATTTTCGATATCCAAATATAATATAATGTTTAAATTACTCATAATTTTCTTCTAAATCAAAATCAAAAGATGTTACTAAAATTCTACCGCGAGTAAATAATGAAAATAGCCGTGTGCTAGAGAATTGTGAGTTCCTATTTTTTCAAAACTTTTTTTTCCTGCCCAAACTTTTCTCTCTTCCTCTTTTGTTTTGTATGCTCGAGACTCCTCCTTCATGCGGCTCTAGTGTCGTCGGGCACTGCTCGACCCCTCGTGATCGTCTCCCCTCCTCTAATCGATCCTATCCTCGTAGTTCGAAGAGAAACAATTGCTTACTCAATCGGAGATTGCATCCTGCAACGACCTTTGCTTTCCTCTTGACACATGCTTACATTCGTCACCATTAAATTCGGACAAGTTAAATTAACATCGACGCTGCAGAATGATCGGATAGCGCTTTTGTGTTCTGGTCGTGGGGAAGAAAACTAGCTTATCTTCTTCAGCAGCTACCCAACTTTTTTAGAAATAAAACGGGTTAGATTTGTGCTCGTAAACTACTCGAATTCAGCTTAACTCCGTTATAGTACCCCTAATATCAGTAAACAATATAAATACCTGAATTGAGTTATAAGGTGGTGTAAGAATACAGAGATTTCTACTCTAGCAAGCTCATATCCCGGGCACAACCGAGGTCCTCCTCCGAACGGTGTGTAAAAAATTCCGGAACAGATTGTCCCAGGGACATTCTGTCCAAATCCATTCGAGATAAGTATGAAAAATTATTTTTCTTCGATCTCATCGCGTTTTATTGCGGTGAATATAAAAAAATAAAGAAAACCGAAACCACAAAATAACAATTAATGTTACATTGCAACTACTATTTAGATTTACCTGCCATCTCCATGGATTGAAAGTATGAGCGTCTTTAAGTTATCATGATCAAGATGGACAGCTCGAAATGACACGAATAAATTCCGATCCTTCGGAATCGTGTAACCTAATCTAATCAAACCATTGGTAAGTACACAAAAATGTCGATCGATGACCTCTTTCATAAGAAAAAAAAGAGAGGAGAAATGTGTATTTTCTGACCGTTTATGTTAACCTCGGTTATTGTCCGTCTAAAAACTCCACTGATAATGTTTGCGACTCGTAACGTCTGGTTGATAACCTGAAATACATGATTTAGAATCACGGATTAAGCAATGTGTTGGACCGTCATGGCAATGTGTTTAGGACAATGAATGTACTTACACATTGAGTGAATGACATTGACTTGTAATCACTCCATTGAAGAGCCTCCGACTCGCTTTTCTTCTCCATAATCTTCTCGTACTCTATCTACAAATTAAACAAGTCTCATCAAATCGTCATATTAGGGCTTGTATTTGAAATTTACGTAAACTACATGTTTAGTATAAATTATTATTTTCATTTTATTTTGGTACCGACATTTTATATTTTTTTCAAAATCATACATAATATTTAGTTTAGGTTTCATTTTGGTATCCCACATTTAAAAACTCAACGGTGACGTATCACCATAAGATAAATATCACATAATCATTAAAAATAAAAAATAGCATGTCGGTAATTCTGTTAATTTTTTAACTGCGAGATATCAAATTGAAATTTAAACTAAATGCTAGGTATAATTAAAAAATTGAGTACTAAAACAAAATAAAAGTAATAGTTTATGTATTAAATAGGTACTTACCATTAAAATTTTGATACATTTATGATTCACATGAACAGTATGATATTCAGAAAAATCAAAAATCGAAATCATAAACCCTATTGCATAAAATTAAAAATTAAAATCCCCAATGACCCAAAAATACCCTTGAAATTTCCCGTGGCAGGAAAATGACTCTATGGTCATTTCATGAATGACAAAGTAAAATGATTCTGAGAAATGGTAAAAGTTTTCTCTTTTAATTTAATTTTTATATTTATTTATTACAGGTTAAGGCGTGCAATTGAAAGAGTCGTCATTATGTCCGGTTAGACAAACTTCAAGTTCCTACTTTGACTTTTATGTTCTGTTTTGTAATCTTTGCCTCTACTTTTGACCTACAGCATTAAAACCTTTAACATTAAAATGTATAATAATAAATTATAATACCTAAAAATTAATTAAAATATCATAATTAAACCAACAACTAGTTAATTCAGTACAATAAACCACTAAATTTCTTAAGTAATGATCAGAAGTTTAACTTCACGTCTACGAATGAAATAAATAAAGTTGAGAGAATCACCTCCATATTATATCGTTATAATATTTAACTCGAATTAATCGATTAATTGATTTGATATTGATAATTATATAGGATAAATGTACCTTGAGTTGAGCCAAAGCAAGAGGGGTTTGGGTCAAGAATAACAGCAAGTGTCATGATAGTTGAGGTGGTCTCATAGCCAGCAACAAGCAAAGCAAGCATGAATCCACAATTTTCTCATTTGAAATTTTTTCATCTAATAATCCTCCCAACATATCACTCTTTCTCTCACCTCTTTCATACCCTTCTCTTCTTTCACTCACTATCTTCCCCAATTCCTCTGCCACTTTCCTTCTTCCTTAAAAAACCCAACATATATATATATATATATATATATATATATATATATCAAACTAGTGGTAATATTTCTTTAGAAATAAAATTATTACTTACTTTGATCGCACGATGATATGTGATCTATAATAGAGACAATGGGATGGTGAAGAATCCTTCAATAACAAGAACATATTGTCTTCTCAAACTTTCACTCTATTCTCCCGGATCAATACTCATAAGTTGTTTTATCGTTAACTCGAAAGTTATCTATAAAAAAATTCAATAATAATGAATAAATATTAAAAATATAAGTATCACCCTGTTAGGTGAACAATAAAAATTTAATGAATTTAATCATTTTTTAAAAAAAAAATACTTATATCTAAACTCACGCACATATGCAAACTACATTACTTAAACACGGATCATTAAGGGAGAACAAATTCCTTTTAATCATTGGGACTTCTTTAAGAAAGAATCAATGTCTTGAATTTGAATAATACAGATGAAAATTTTTATATTAATTTGATTTTGAAAATTTTATGATTAAAATAGTAATAAATTAAAAATAAATAAATTATCACTACTGTGGCATTGAAATGGTTCCGAGTCTTTGTTACCAACGCCGTTTCTAACGCGTTTATCATCACCAACAGAACTGAACGATTCATACTGAGTCAACTCAGTCTGACAAATATTTAGATGTTTGATTTTTTTTTTACCTTCTTGGTTTCTTCCATGAGGAAGACACGATCGGTCCAGGAATCCAATTTGAGCCGGATTAACCGGTCTATATCGACCAAGAGTTGATCTTTGATAATTGACGAGCTGGCGAAACTCATGGTCAAAGAATGCATCCTTTTGTGAAGGTTACCTCTCATCAAGAGCAGCGAGTGTTTCCCAAGCAAATTCGAAATCGAACCGGGGTAACTAGACTCGAACAGCTTCCCTTCGTTTTGCAAGATGAATCGGTTCGTCTCCGGACCAGCTGAAAAGACAGTCGGTTCGCCGAAAATATGGGTCGTGAAGACCGAACCGTAACGTTTCACCCTTTCGTCGATGAATGGCTCGGGGTTTTCGGTCTTGAAAGCAGATATAAGTTGTAAGGTCTCCCCGATGAAAGGTAAACCCAAGTTTCCCGGTGGTAAACGGAAGCGCCGAAGACGACTAACACGGTGGAGGAGGAAGGAGATGACGGTGGTGAGGAGAAGAATGAAAAGATGGTGAACGAAGATAACCATGAACAAAAGGTTTACTTTCTCCTTTTATTGTTTGGAACGAAGATACTGATTCAGCACACGAGGGGTATATGTAAGGAAATAAGGGGTGAAATGAAAGAAAATGAAAATTTAGGGATATAATTGGTATTAAACTTGTCAGTCCATACTTTCCATAGGTTAGTCAACGATTAATATTTTAATAAATGATTGAATTTATTAATATAATTGTAATTTTTTAATAATTAAAATATCTTCAACATCAACCTTTTTTTTAATAGTATGAGAGTATTATAGTATAATATACTTTTATAATCTTTTTAACCATTAACAAAACACACATACTTTACAATGTAGTTAATATAACTCGAGACAGCAAAAGAAAAAACAACACTACCTTTAACTATTAAAGTTATTCAATGAGTTCTAATCTACAATGAACTTATTAGTGAATTTAAGAAGTATAATTAATATAAGATGATATATTTTTTTGGATAATTTAATTTGAATAATATTATTTATGAAATATGTGTACATTTATCTAAACATACAAACAAATACTACAACAATACCATAAATAAATTAATACTTTAACTAGTATACACACATTCCACTCTATTTTACATTTTGCCACCCAAACCTTCTTCCCATGATGCCTGTATTCTCTTGGCCCACAATGAACCTACTGGAAAAATAAAGCACTCCCAACTTCATCATATTACTTTTTTTTAAAAAATATTATACATTAAAATTCTATTTCAAAAAATACAAAATAAGTTGATTTTATTTCTAGGGTTTGTTATTTTATACATCAATAGTAAAAAATATTTCAAAAATATGTTGATTTTATGTCATCTGACATATTTAAATAATTCTAAATTCTAAAATTTAACCTTTAAATTTTAGAATTTAAATCCTAAATTATACACCTAAACCATAAAATCCAAAATCTTAAGCCCTAAAACATATAATCCTAACTTCTAAGAGAACATATGATAATATAAGAACCCCTCTTATGAAATATTTCTTTCACCATTAGTGCATGAAATATATTTTTTATTTTTATATTTGTAGTTTATAATGTAACTATAAAATTGGTAATTAAGTTTTTCTGCTTAGTTTTCTTTACAAAAATAAACTCCCAAACAAGAGAAGATCTATACTTTAGTTTTTATTATCAAATCTAAACTAAATAATCTTATTTTATTATCAACAATCAATTGATCTAGTAGGATGAGGCGCTAAATCTCTTAAGAAAATTTAGTGGTTCAAGTTATAGTGTTTGTGAATTAAGTAAATTAGGTTGGGATGATCATCATTGTTTCTGCAGTATACTAAATCCGAATTAACCGATTAATAAATCAAATACAGATTATGAAAAAGGGAGGCTTACAACCTTCTTTTTTCTTTCATAAATTATTATAATTTCCGAGCAATACTAAATAATATACAAATGATGCTTATTTACCAGGTGTGAATCACTTATATTCTAAAATAGTTCCTAAACTTTTTAACATTCTAAATTAGTTTTCAAATTATGATTTTCATTCTAAATTGGTTCTCAAACTTTTAAACGTTTCAATAACATCTTCTTAATCTCACCACTGATTTTAGATCAATCGAGCTTTTTTCAACCCAAATATTTTATATTACTTAAGTTGCAAAATCTTTGTAATCGTGAACAGTATCGATGGAACTCGGACAGATTAGGAAACCCTTTCCTGAATTCCTGGGATTTGGACAGGATTTCACTTTCTTTAATTAACTAAATTTAATTCTTTTTGATAATGAGTGTTTGTTAAATAAGGCAAAATTTTGGGATTGTTTGTTTAATTAGCAAAATGGTTGTGGATCTCGTGGGAAGTCCAAAACCCAAGTTCGAGGTGATTGCGCTGCCATCGCATCCTATAATTAATTAATTTAATTTAATTACTCCAAAGTGGATAATACTGCTTGATTAAATGCTAATTAATCATGGTTATGTCAGTGCAAATCACATTGTTCGGTATGTTGAGACAATGATGCCTTTAGTGGTCTTTTGACATCCACCATCATTACTTTTTTTTAAATAATCGAGAGAGAGTTAAGGTTTAATTATAGATAATAGATGTTAGTGATATTTAATTATTGGTTTTTTCAGAACAAAACAATTAACTGATAAAAATTCATATACGACGGTATTAACAATATGTATATGATACAACATAATATATATTTTAGATTTTATATCTTTTAAGATAATTGGATGAGTGAAAATAGACAGTTAAGAATACCTCTTTATATTTTTCTGTAATTATTTTCTCATTTTCTGTTAAGCTCAAGTGTTTATTTCCGTGCATTCAATAATTTTTAAAAATGTAAAAATTAAAAGATGGGAACAAAGCTGCCTAATTATAAGCATAAAGTTGGTAACATTTGAAATCATTCACTGTCTATAGTTTCCGATTTTCCTTTGCCTTTGATTTTGCAAGAACTTTTATGCCATTTATGTCTTCTTCCCCAATGATTTCCTTTTTCACCTTCAATTCATTGCCTCTAATTTTTTCCTAAGCTAGAAAGCTTCTTTTTGGTCTCTAAAAGGTTAAAAAAATCCAATTGAAGTTTATTTAATTATGTACGAATTAAATGATTTAAAATTAAAAAGAGGTTATATCTTGAGGTTTCATTTTCGAGCATGATGTTTACATGGATGTATAAACATTCATTGTTAAATGCTTAATAATCTTTCAAAAAATATTATATTATAATTATTCAAGACTATTAAAAAATAATTTAATTACTTATTTTTTAATCACTATCGAAAAGAAAAAAAATAAAACAAAACTACTATAATTAAGGTATTATAATTGTGTTATTGAAAATTATAATCAAGAATGAGCCCCACCGCACGTGCATGTTGCGACAAAATTCCGACATCATCGAATGCAGAAACAAGTAATCCTCACTTTGATTAGCCAAAAAGAAAAGATGTCTTAAAATCTTTATGTATTTACATTTTTTGGTTCTTTTTCTCATGTTGGTCAACTGACATCGCAAATGATTAATGTTGGAGTTTATGCAGAAACGATGATTTTTTTTTTGAAATTATACATGTTAAATCATGATTAGAATAGGAATATATATATATATATATATATATAGCATATATGATTGTTACATAATATAAAATTCTTTTAGTTTTATATAGATTTAGGATCATTGGACGAGTGAAAATAGACGACTTAGATTTACTCTATTTTTTTCAGTGAATATCTTTTTATTTTCTACTGTTAATCACAACCATCTATTTTCACTCATCCAACGATCCTAAAATTGTATAAAATTAAAAGAGTTTTACATTATGTAACAAGATCATATATATATATATATATATAAAGATCTCTAGTTCTTCTTTAATTTTATTATTTTGTTGAAATTTAAGTTTGAATCTTTATATTTTAGTTATTTGTCTGAGATTTAGTTGAAAATCAATCTAAAGGATTTTTAAGACTTTATCTTAAATTAACAGGATTCGTTTCAAGAGTCATGAAGATTTTATTTTAAAGAACGAAATTATTCTCTTTTGTGTTGTTGTCTCTTTTTTTTTCTAATAGTCTGATATGATTATAAGTTAGTATATTAAAAACTTTTTTAATCTATCGACAACATACATCCTACAAACATAGTTGTTCGAACTCCATACCTCTAAAAAGAATAACTTTCTTATTTATCACTCAGAATATATGTAAATTTCTTAGTCTGAAAGAGATTGATTTTCGTAGAGTGAGGTGAAAGAGAATTGGTGTTTATTGATAGATGTTAGAATGATAATGAGTTTATTTCACTAATATGATAATTGTTTAGTAGTACAATATCTATTAATATTTATCATATAATATTTTAGAGATGTAACTGTTTTATTATATAGATTCATGTACTAAGATTCTACGTAGATGGTTAGTCGTTCGGATTTATTTATTCTGTTTGTGAAATTTCAAAGTTGAACCAATCAAATGTTATTGTTTAACCTTTTTTTTTAATGCTTCATTGATGATAACGATGATGACCATGATATGATGTTGGTGGCAGTTTGCATTCGACGTTAGCCACTATCTTTCCACCACGTGGCCATCACACATTGACTTTCCGACAACAGTTTCCGACGTCAACACGTATGGAAATCATTGTTGGTCTCATCCTTCACTTATTATAGCTTTTAAAAAAGTAATATCAAATTAACCTTTAATTATCTCGTTTACTTTTGTACTTGTTTCATTGTAACCCAAATATCGTTTGCCACATGTGCTTGTAGTGATGGATAAAAGGGCGTCCTTTTGAAATTATAAGTTATTATACTATTATTTACATTTTTTAATAATTATTTATGTTAAGAGTTAATGTAAGAACATGGTTTGGAGGCAAATTCTTGAATAGGATGCAGATCAAATCATCAAATTCTTTATTTATGTTATTGTGAATAACATATCTACACGAATGTTCGTTCATTTGTAGCTTATAGGTCAAATGCACTAATCCGACCGACTAAATCAGACCGTATTCTATGTGAATTATTGTTCCGACAACTATTTATTTTAGGGTATATTACACTATTAGTCATGAATCTTTAGATTATGTATCCGTTTTAGTATTAAACTCTAAAATACTTTAATAAATATTGAACTTTAGTTTGTATTTCAATTAGGGTACTAGACTGTTGAATCATTAACGACATGATGATATGATCGTTTCTTCTCAATTTTCATTTAGAAAATTGTCACCTCATTCGAACACTATTGTTCATCAATCTTCACCCATCATCTTTTGTCATTTGTGGCAATATAGTACCAAAATATTCATATTTCATTCATTTTCTTCTTCCTAATTTAATTGTACATGAAATCCACTTGAAATCAACCAAAAAATCTAAATGTTTGATGTTCTAATGCTCTGATCTCCTTCAGTGATTGTTCGATGAGACTAATTTTTAAGCATGTTGTTCGTATTCTTGAAAGAATACTTCTCACTAATCTAATTTTAAAACAAACATCTCAAATCTCATAAAGTCCCCAACTCCTCCAAATATGATATTTTTTAACGTTTTTAAAGAGTTTTTGAGAAAATCTAAACTAATAAAGTGATAGAAGATGTGGGATGAGTTCACCAATGTTTAGGTAGTCACAAAAGATGTTAAAGAATGACGATTTCTAACGACTAGGTGAGAAAATTTTAATTTTGATGAAGATGATGAAGTGAAATAAAAAATTAATGTCTTATCTTCCACGTTTACACATGTTATCTTGACATCAATACCAAACTGTCACATCATTGTATTGTTATGATTTAACGATCCAATACCATAATTAAAACATAGAATAAAGTTTAGTGTTAAAATTGAACAAATTTAAAGGTCAACGATAAAAACAACACAAAACTAAAATTTAATAACTAATAATATAACTTAGCCTAAGGATGCATATGATTTAGTTCGATATTTTTTAAAAAAAAATTAATAGTTGATTCGATTAACATCAATTTTCAAATTTTTATATTAACTTTGAGTTTTGAGATTTTTATTTTATTTTAATAAAATAACTTTATTTGTTCTCCTAAAAAAATTCCCATTACAAAACAATCTAAATTGTTTGGTTAGAATGAATCCTTAAATTTCCGACTTGAAAATGACATGGCACTCCCGAAATACCCCACAAATAATAAGGTCACCATTCATCCTACCTCACCCACTAAAGGATAAGCACAGATAAGGCCCCTAAATCACCATTGCCATCCATCAATTCAATAAATAAATAAAAAATACAATAAAAATTTTGAGATTTTTTTTAAAAATAATTAATCGAACAATATCAATATATTATATAATTTTTAATAATATTTTAATGTTTTTAATGTTTATTTTCTTTCTTTGAAATTTAAAAACTTGTCTATAATGATCATTTCTAATGTGTAATTTCCTACATGTTATATATAATATGGTCTATTTGTATACCGATAACTCTTTAGCTACACCAGGAGTACCACCACCAAGTCTTCATCTATGGCTATCACCGTTGCTGCTACCGCCGTGACATCACACTTTTTCGGAACTCAAATCCATTACCCTAACCTAAAAAGCTCAGGTCGAATCCAAGCTAGGTTTGGGTTTAGCTTTGGCACCAAGAAAGCACCACCGGCACCCAAAAAAGCATCCCCAAAACCGGCCGATCGCCTTGTTTGGTTCCCCAGTGCAAGCCCACCGGAATGGCTAGACGGCACAATGATCGGAGACCGAGGGTTCGACCCTTTCGGCTTTGCTAAACCGGCTGAATACTTGCAATTCGATTTGGACTCATTGGACCAGAACTTGGCCAAGAACGAGGCCGGTGAGATTATCGGGGTGATTAACGAGACGGCGGAGCTGAAGCCAACACCGTTTCAGCCGTACACAGAGGTGTTCGGGTTACAAAGGTTTAGAGAATGTGAGCTGATTCATGGGAGATGGGCAATGTTGGGAACTCTTGGTGCCATCGCTGTTGAGGCACTCACTGGAGTTGCATGGCAAGACGCAGGGAAGGTATGTCGTATAATGTGCTTTGTTGCATGCAATAATAATAATAATAATTACATTGTTTTATGACCTCTTAAAATTGTAGATTTTTAAGCATGCACCCCCTCGTAAATTTTGAAAAATAATGTACCATTTTTTTAATTTTTAAAGTCTCGTCATTTATCTTAATATTTATATTTGAGGTATTAATAATTAATTACATGATTAATTTTAAAAGTAAATTTAAATGATTTAATTATAATAACATATCAAAATCTCATTCATTCATAGTTGCTCATGTAATTCTTATACTTTTGTTTGTGATTTTTACTCCATGTAGATTTTAAAAGTTTGATTTTGACCGAAACAATAATCTGTTAGTTTTAACTTCTTTTATTAGTTCATGTAATATACATATAAGTTATAAATTTAGTTTATATTCAATTCATTGAGTGGCTTCGGTGACAAAACGAAATCTTATTTTCCTTAGAGTAATTCAATTCGAGCAGTTACGTTTGCAAGGTGTGTATTGTTAATTGACTAATAAAATTCTGAACAAATATTATTTTGTAATTCCCAATCCCTATATTATTCAAACAATTTAATTTATGTTCTATGATTGGTTCATTTTAAGTTATTATCCAAACTTTGGCTAGACCTACTACCCATCCAACTTTTGGATAGGTTCAATTGAAATTTTTCTTCAATTTTATATTATTATTATTATTATTCAATTGCAGGTTGAATTAGTGGAAGGATCGTCTTACTTAGGGCAACCACTTCCATTTTCGTTGACCACATTGATTTGGATAGAGGTATTGGTAATTGGTTACATTGAGTTCCAAAGAAATGGTGTGCTTGACCCTGAGAAAAGGCTTTACCCTGGTGGCTATTTTGATCCACTTGGGTTAGCCTCTGACCCTGACAAACTTGATAACCTCAAATTGGCTGAAATCAAGCACTCAAGGCTTGCCATGGTTGCTTTTCTTATTTTTGGTCTCCAAGCTGCAATTACTGGAAAAGGTCCCATCAGCTTCATTGCTACCTTCAACACTTGATGGATTTAGACCTCAAAGTTTAAGCATCTCCTTTCTATATCCATGGATTCTCTGTTAGTAGTTTACAGTGTTGTATTATGCAAAGGTGAATGTTGACTGGCCACATTGCTCATTATATGCAAAGCTCAATGTTGTATTTTATAGGCATAATACCAAAAAAAATTGTTAATAACATTTAATTAAATATTCGTTTTGACGTTTATTCTTTTTGTTGGAGCACTTTGACTCTATGACGTTTTATTTTATGACAAAATGTCAATTGGTTGGATGAAATTGTTTGTTAACTAATGATTAACGTTTATCGTTGACGTGACAAGATTTATGTGTCCAAAATGTTGACATGAGACATGCCACGTATCTAAAATGATGATGTGACAATGTCACGTCACATGCCACATGTTTTAAAATGATGACGTGACATGTATCATATTTCAAAATAATAACATTACATGGCATATATCACATGTTTAAAATGATGTCGTGAAATATATCACATAATCACTTTAGACACATAAGATTTGTCATGCTAGCGACAAGCGTTGACAGTTTGTCAACTAACGTTTTTCTAACATGAAGCATTTACTCCAGAATGAAATGTTGGGACCAAAGTGATTATTTTATCAAACGTTTAGGATAAATTTTGATATTACAGATTTTATTTTACTAGATACTATAACGGTTAATTTAAAATATTTTAAATATCATTCCATTGATTATATAAAACGATGTCCTTCAAGAGCAAACATTGCACATGAATTGAAACTAGTATACATAAATGAAGGGTATACATCAATATGGCCATATGTCATTGGTTTAGGCCTGATTTATTACTATTCGGGTGCATCAAAAACAAGACAAGTGCCTTCGCCACCTGTGTTCCATAAGAAGTTTGCATATTTGGATGCATGAAAAGGGTTCTTCTCATCAACTTGCAAGGCTTGTGAGTATATTTCTTCAGCTTCCCAATGATCATTTCTCACTTGCCATAAGAAATCAGCAAACAGTCCCAACGCCTCAGAATCTTCTGGATCGGCTTCAATTGCACGTTTGTAGAACTCTTCCGCCCTGCATATATAAATTAATTGGTATCGTATAGGTAGGTGTATAGTAACATCGTTCTCGTATGTATTAGTGTATCGAAGTAGAAGTTTACGGTGCAACTCACTTGGTGAATAAATAAAATTAGAAAAATAGGGATCTATATTTGATGAACGCAGAGGATCTTGAGTCTTGTCGCACATTCAGTCTATACAAGCAGGGATGGAGACGCATTATAGGTGGGAGGGCCAATGCCTCCCAACTTTGATGGTCTAATTATATTTAGATCACTGATAATTTTGAAACGATTGTAATTAGGTCTTTTCCTCTAAATTTTTTTTGGGTATAAATGTATTTTAGGACACTGTCAATTTTAAAGTTAATGGAATTAAGCTTTGACCCCAAATTGTCTGGTTTAATTTTTTTTTAAAAATAAATATTTTAAATTTAAAAAATAAACACTTAATCTAGGGATGGCAAACGGGTACAGTTTCGTGGATTCCGCACTGCATCCGCTCCAATTGGAGCGGGGATGGGTATAATTTTAGCGTGTAGTGGGCGGGTGTGGATTTATAAAGTGGTACCCGTCGTGGGTGGTGGGCGGGTAATGGGTTTGAGACATTATCCGCCCCGCATCCGCCCACCCCGCATCCGCCCACCCAACTAAATATCTATTAAATTTTGGACCATAATGAATTTAGGTGTAATTTTAGAGACTAATTATAAATTTTAATATTTATAATATATAACATATAATTTAACCAAATATTAAGGATATTTAGTCTTTAATCTGGTCTTTAATTAGGGAAATATTCGGCTCTTTAATTAAACCCATAATCCCACTAACCAATCACTTTCCATGTTCTTTAGCCATGCTGCCCATACAAATACAAATTAGCCGTACTATAAGCATTAACATCAAAAGCAGCAGTTTCCATGTTCTTTAGCCCCTCAAAACCCATATTAGGCGCTTTATGAGCATTAACATCGAAAGCAACTCAACAATCCAGCTCTGCGACTACATGCTACAATCTGTCTTCATAACATTCGTAGAGCACTCCTCTGACAAATTGAAGCATGCTGCTACCCCATCACGAACTGTCTGGGAACCAACTCCAACATCCATTAGTTTGCTGTCATGCGGGTCTAGATGGGTATGTCGCTATTGGGTAGTGGGGAGATGGATTTGAAAATGCGTGGGCGGGTGTGGATTTGAAAATTTGTACCATCATGGGTGGTGGGCGGGGTGGTGGTGGATTGAAAAAATATTAGGTGGGTGGGCGGGGTGGTGGATTGAAAAAATATTAGGTGGGTATGGGGGAGGGGTATCCGCACCCGACCCCCGACTTAATCTCTTAATTTTTTATGGTTTAATTACTTTTAAGAGCTTACATATTTTAAAGTTAACAACTTGTCCCTCAAAGTTTAGTCACGATTCCATCCCTTCATACAATACTTTACTTCTTTATTAGTGTTTGATGAGATAAGAATTTGTATCAAATAACTCTTTGTAATATGAGTTTTTTTCATCGAATAATTAACTCTTATTAACAATTAGGGTTATTCGTTAAGCCTTAATTAACCATAAACATCTTGTAATTTATGATATTTTCTTTTTAATTTTTCACATAAATCATGATTTCCTTCTTAGTTATGATATTTTTTGTTTCAATTCATATCCTAATGGATAAGACTTCAGATAGTAAAATAACAAATAAAGCTAAAACAATGAAAGGCATAAACTTAGATTTACCTGTCATAGTCTTTGACGACAAGATGAAGGAACCGAGCATAGTTTGCGAGCAAAAGTGCATTATCAGGCTCTTCAGCAACACACATTTGATAAACAAGATCTGTCCTGAAATGAACATCATAGTTATCTGGTTCAAGCTCCACATGCAATGGAGACACCATTTGTTGCCTCATTTGATTATCAAGTGCTCTATAAACCGATTCCCCTTTTCATCTTCGTACGTCGAACCGGCACGGTCTGGGTTTTGATTTCGGTGATAACGTTTACTGGTCCTTGGATTGCCTCAAAGGGAGCCTTGTCTGCCATTGATTGAACCGAAAAGTTAGCCAAGAGAAGCACAACGTAAACCATGAGTGTGGGTGTTTTGGAGAACACATGTTGGAACAACAGACAAATGCCAACGTCGTCTTGTTGGATTTTGGACATAGCCGCCGTCAAATCTTCCGATGAAAGACCTTCCTTTATCATCAAAGAGAAGCTTTGGATCTCTCTGATGATGAAAACCAATGAAGAAATCGCGTTTCTAACAGACGAATATGCAAATTCGCTTGCATGATCGACTAAACTGTTTAATTTCGAACTTCGTTTTCGTTTTATGAACCTCGACGAATGTGGTATCCGGACGTTGTTGGCTTTTTGTTCGATGGGGAGCAGAAGAATCTCGTCTCGTTCCAGCCAATCTGTCGGCTCGGTACAGATTCCGAGCGACGTCGGATCGAGTAACTCGACCTTCAAAGGTAGACGATGCTTCGAAGGATTCATATGAACAATGTTTTCACGTGGGAAGCCATTGGAGCTGCTGAACAAGAATGAACCCTAAATTTTGTTGAAACGAAACGAGATGAAGCGAACAATAGGCCAATGATTGAGTTCCATTACGCAATATCGAAAACGACTGCAAATTCAGGTGAGGTCCATAGCGCAATCTGTTGAAAAAAACACAACTTCATCAATGCAACCAAGGAAACCGATCAAAACTTAAAATAAAATAAAAAACTCATGATTCTAAGGGATGTAAGCAGGGTATCAAATTACGGACCGAAAACGTGATAGCGGCCGTAATATTGATGTAGTACTGCCGTTCGAAACCGGTTTTCATGATTTTTGCGGTAGGTCACGGATTCACACTAATCTCGAAATGTGACACCCGCAATTTAATGGGAAAAACTCGATTGCGCCGATAACAAGATGCAACAACCGTGATTTCAATTTCCGATCATAATTTTTTTTTCAAAACATGAAAGGTTGGGGAGGAGGAAGGGGGAGAGGGGGTTGAGAGTGAAAGCATAATTTTTTTTGGTTTCAGACAATGAAATGGGGGGAAGGAGGAAGGGGAGGCAGAAAAGTCGGGGAAGAGGAGGCAGAAAGGTTGGGGAAGGAGAGAGGAGTTGCTTTATTTCTTTCTTTTTTTTTTAAATATAATTTTAAATGATATATTAATTTGACATTCCTCCATTTTTAAAATTTATAATTTAATCCTATTTAAAATGTAAACTTAATTTTATTTAATTTAGTCTTAATTTCGTAATCTAAATTTCTACAATTAAAATTTACAATTTATTTTAATTATATTTAATTTAGTCATTTTAGGGTAAGTTGTGCAACATTAAAAAGTTCACGACCGCGATACCCACAATGACACATTAAAAGTTCAGACCGCGATACCCACAATGACATCTATTATGTCCGCAAACCGGATAAACGTGACCGAAAAAACTATTTAAAACTCTAGTATAATCAAATAAAGAGTAAAAAAAATGATAGAAACATACCCAGAAATGAATAATTGCAGGAGAAGTACAATAATTATATCTGTTTTTTTTTCAAATCAGATAGCTTATTGTAATAGTTTTTTTTCTTGGAGAGCTTTGAAAAAGTTAGATATTTAGGAAAAAATACATTTTCAGTGGTTATCACTGTACTGGTTTGTTGCAGGTCAACAATTTTAATGGTTAAAAGCAAGCCATGTTTATTGATTTATTTATTTATTTTGGTAAGTATGTCTCTTAGTTTACTGATTTTATTTAAAAGATGATAAAACTTTGATTAAAATATAAAAGTTATATTAAATATAGAGAAGCAGCAGCTTGAAGGTTGAATTGGAAAGAAGCAAAATTTTCATAGCAAAAAAAAAAAACTAAAATAAATAGTGAAAACATATAATCTTTTATATATATAAATAATTTGAATTAATTATAAGATAATATATTCATTTTTAAAAATTAATAACAATACACACATATGTAGATTCAATCCGTAAACTGGCCATCAAACACAAAGCGAACAATGTCGGGTTACTACATTCGTTGAGGTTCATAAAACGAAGATAAAAATTGGATAGTTTCGTTGATGACGTGTCGTAATCGGTTTTCGTCCGGACACGAAATATTTATTTTGGGGGTAAAATCGATATGAATAAATGGTTTTGAAAATAATTTGGGGAGTCGTCATCGGCCTTTTGGGTCAGGTAGGTCGAATACCTAAAAATTATTTTTAAAAGAGTTTTAAGAAAACATCAATTAAAAAATTAAACTGATCTGCGTTTATAACCAAAAATTCATTCTTTTTAATAATAAAAAGGATTCGTGGTCGGTTACGTTTAGGGAAGGATTAGCACCCCTACAACACCCAAAATTGGTACTTTTTAATTATAAATTGTCTCTATTATTAAAATTTAAAAATTCAAAAATATATTTACTTTATAATCCTATTATTTCAAAATTATATAAAAAAAATATTATTTATTTAAAAATATCAGAAAAGAACTTCTAGGTGCCTAAGACAGCTCTTTTCGTTGATATTATAAATATTAATTTAAATAATATTGTTTAATTTTAAAATACCAGAACAGGACATCCAGTTGTATTAAGACTGTCCTTTTCTTCGATATTAAAATAAATAAAAATTTAATTACTATTTATTATATATATTTATGAATACATAAAAATATTTAAAAATATAAACAAATAAAATAAAAATATCACTAAAACATATATTTTAAAAACATTAAATAAATAAAAACATATAAAATAAATGACTAAATTACAGTGAAAATAAATTAAAAATCTAATTCATAATTAATCGAAACATTAGGATTAAACATGCTATTTCTTTATTATTTATTTAATGACTAAAATAAAATTATCTAAAATTAGGATTATAATAAAATAAATTAAAAATATAAACTAAGGATTAAAAATATTATTTATTAAAATTAAAGGATTAAATCTGTTATTTATCCTAAAATATATTTAATATAAGGACTAAAATAAAAGAAATTAAAATTAAAGATCTGAATTAAAAGTATTATAAAATCGATTTAGTGACTAAAATGTAAAACATATAAAACAGAGGGATTACGGAAAGGGTTTAACATTTATAAAATTACACAAATAGCCCTCCCCAAAACGGCGTCGTTTGGGAAGGGCTATTAAGCCCGAAACGGCTGGCCCGAAGGGCCAGCTCTCTCATTTCTCAATTTACTCTCTCTCTAAACTGAGAGAGTTTAAAAACTCTCTCGCCTCTCTAGCTTCCCTCATCGGAGGGAAGCCGGTCACCGGGCGGCAGCCGTCTGCCGCCGTGACCCTCACCGCCGGCCACCGCATAAGGTGGCCGGAAATTTTATTTTTATACCATCGGATAGATCGGACCGTCCTTAGGACGGTTCCGGTGTTCTTTTCACCTAAATATCTCCTGATCGGAGCGAATCTAAAAAGTACCTTCGGTTTCCGAAGGTTTTGGTGATGTTCGAAGGGGTCCGATGGCTTCTCGGTAAGCTCCTTTCTTCTTTTTTTTCTTTTCTGTTTGGTTTTTGCTAGTTGTGGTAGTATGTTGCTCTCTGTTTTTCTCTCTCTGTCTCTGTTCTCTGTCTCTCCTCTTTTTTTTCTTTCAGGTTCGGTGGTGGCTTTATAGCCACCACCGTTGTGGCAGTCGGACCGGTCCGAAGAGGGGGTTTGGTGAGTCACCGGACTACCAGTAGTGACTCACCCTTAGCCATGGCGTGTGGAGGGCAGCTGGTCTTCTGGAGTCTTCATTTGGGACGGGCAGCGGCGGAGGCGGCGAAAAAGTGTCGGCAGCGGTGATTGGAAATTGGGCCGGCGCCGCGTGGCCCTAGGGTAATGATACCCTAGGGTTTCTTCTGGCATATCTGAGGACCGTTGGATCTCTCAGATAGAGATCCAACGGCTGTGATGATGAGGCGGCTGGGATTAGGGTTATGAAACCCTAACTGAAACTCCCAAATGTTTAGGGTTTCTGGTTTGATCTGGACCGGTTCTAGTTTGTTTGTAACTGGGCCGGTCCAGTTGTAATTGGGCCTGTAATTAATTATTATTATTATTATTTTTTTATAATATTATATATTATTTAATATATTTAATAATAATAATGATGATAATAATAATAATAATAATATAATAATGATAATAATAATAATAAATAATATAATAATAAAATGATAATAATAATAATATGGGTAAAAAATTAGTATCTTCAGCTGCCCCTCTTTGCTCATTCTTGTGTTAACAAGAATAGGGCAAAGTTGAAAAGATAATAAATTTTTTTACCATTTGGCTTCACTTGATCATAATGGAGATATGAATAAATTCTTCTCTCTCCAGATGAGTTCTTCTCATTATGAACTTTCTGCTGGGGATGATGATGACCTCTTTTTCTGTGATAGAGTCATTCAAAAGGTTGAATAAGCTTTTGATGAGTTCTTCTCATTAGAACTTTCTCCAGAAAGGCTGATGATAATCTATCCCTTCTGTGATAGAATTATTGAACAAGTCTTCTTATTATAAACTTCTTCCTTCTTCAGATGATGAGTCTTCTCATTATGAACTCTTCCTGACAATGTTGGTCCATCAAATGATGAATTCAAACAAAAGTTGAACAAGTTCTCTCATTATGACTTCTTCTTCCTTCTTCAGATGACGAATTCTTCTCATTATGAACTCTTCCTGGCAATGTTGATCCATCAAATGATGAATTCAAACAAAAAGTTGAACAAATTCTCATTATGAACTTATTCTTCTTCTTCAGATGACGAGTTCTTCTCATTATGAACTCTTCCTCTGGAAAAAATAATCCATCCAGTGATGAATCAGAAAAAAGGTTGAACAAATTCTTCTCATTATGAATTTCTTCTTCCTTCTTCAGATGACGAGTTCTT